ATCCCAACTTGGCTGAGTGGCTGAGACCTTCTGTCCTTAGCGTCGGATAGATTCGGTGTGCATTGGCAGGGCGAGTGCTCTGAACCAAACTTCCCACTGCCACTGGGGAGACACCGGGAATCAGATCCAAGCTGCTGATCTTGTAGCCAGGCTGCCAGGGACACGTTCCTGACGTTGGACACGTAATTACCGCATGTGACATAGACATACTAAGTTGAACAAAAAGTATCAACAGCAAAAAAATCAAAAGTACTCCGGGACTCCAACTTGCCCTCAATCCGCTAGGGTATACCGAAACCGAAACCGTGCATGCAGTGCAAACCCGCAGGTAGGAGCATGCAACACTGATGGCCAGTGGAACCGATGGAACATGCAGGGAAAAGGCTAGTGGCTTTACAATGCTTTGAAGCATGTCAACTGTCAACTCATTACATGCTATCTGCAAAACATTATCGCGTACTCGCCTGAAACACCTTCTACTTTTGGCATGTTCAAACGTTGCGCTTTTATTATCTTTTATTAATACTTTCTGGGGTCTTGGGGTGGATCAGCAGGCACGTGCCCAAATGAGATGGGTGCGATGTATATACCTTGAAATGAGGAACAAACAGCAGGCATCGACAGGTAAAGATGTGGAAGAATTTGTTCAGCGACCTGTTCCATTTGCCATTCCATTGTGCGAAACGTGGAGATATAGGGAATGTATATTATTAATATTTACAGTTTACAGTGTCCGATGTTTCTGGATGCTAGTCCGTTCCGGTATGGAAGTTGGGCGAAATGGCGAAATATATAGCGACGGACATTTGCTTAGAACCTGTGGAAATTTTCCAAAACGCTCGGGTATGATTTTTTTTTCGCACTTAGCACCTCTTAGGTTCTAAGTGTGAGTTCGGAGGTTCTAAGTGTAAGTCCGGTTTTATTTTGGTGGGGTTCTAAGTGCAAAGTCCCCCAACCATTTGCCTCATCCCCTATCATTCCTATAACCAGGGTAAACATATATAACATAATATATTCAACATAATTATTATTCAAAACCTGCAAAAACCAATAATGCTTGGATAATGGTTATATAGACTGGTGATGGGAGGCTATCTATACGCTGATAAAATCTTCCCAGATTGAAGTGCCACCATGTTTCTTAGTAAGACGTTTATAGATCAGACTAGGTATGTTGCCTATGTGCCCAGGATGGCAGGGAACCAGGCAGTTTGGTGGGGACTTTCACACTTGGAACCTCCTAAATCACAGCCTACACTGGTAGAATTAAAATCTTCCCAGGTTGGTGTGCCAACATGTTTCTTCATAAGGGTCTTATACATCAGATTAGATGTTGCCTATGTGCACGGGATGGCAGGGAACCATGCGGAACCATGCAGAACCATGCAGAACCACGCAGATAGGTGGGGACTTTCGCACTTAGAACCTCCTAAATCACAACCTACACTGGTAGAATGAAAATCTTTCCAGGTTGATGTGCCAACATGTTTGTCAGAAAGGGTTTTCTGGATTGGACTAGGTATGTTGCCTATGTGCAGGGGATGGCATGGAACCATGCAGATCGGTGGGGGACTTTCGCACTTTAAAACTCCTAAATAACAACCTACACTGATAGAATCTTCCAAGATTGGAGTGCCAAAATGTTTCTTGATAAGGATTATAGATCAGATAAGGTATGTTGCCTACGTGCACGGGATGGCAGGAAACAAGGCAGATAGGTGGGGACTTTCGCACTTAGAACCTCCTAAATCACAACCTACACTGGTAGAATGAAAATCTTTCCAGGTTGATGTGCCAACATGTTTGTCAGAAAGGGTTTTCTGGATTGGACTAGGTATGTTGCCTATGTGCAGGGGATGGCATGGAATCATGCAGATCGGTGGGGGACTTTCGCACTTAAAAACTCCTAAATAACAACCTACACTGATAGAATCTTCCAAGATTGGAGTGCCAAAATGTTTCTTGATAAGGGTTTGATAGATCAGATAAGGTATGTTGCCTATGTGCCCAGGATGGCAGGGAACAAGGCAGATAGGTGGGGACTGTCGCACTTAGAACCTCCTAAATCACAGCCTGCACTGGAATCAAAATCTGGTTGGTGTGCCAACATGTTTCTTGATAAGGTTTTTATAGATCAGATTAGATGTTGCCTATGCGCACGGGATGGCAGGGAACCATGCAGAACCATGCAGAAACATGCAGAACCATGCAGAACCATGCAGATATGTGGGGACTTTCGCACTCAAAAAACTCTTAAATCACAACCTACACCTTGATAAGGGTTTTGTAGATCAGATTAGATGTTGCCTATGCGCACGGGATGACAGGGAACCATGCAGAACCATGCAGAACCACGCAGATAGGTGGGGACTTTCGCACTTAGAACCTCCGAAATCACAGCCTACTCTGGTAGAATTAAGATCTTCCCAGATTGGAGCGCCAACATGTTTCTTGGTAAGGAAAATAGATCAGATGAGATATGTTGCCTGTGTGCACGGGATGGCAGGAAACAAGGCAGATAGGTGGGGACTTTCGCACTTAGAACCTCCTGAATCACAACTTACAGTGATAGAATCTTCCCAGATTGGAGTGCCAACATGTTTCTTGATCAGGGTTTGATAGACCAGATTAGGTATGTTGCCTATGTGCACGGGATGGCAGGGAACCAGGCAGATAGGTGGGGGACTTTCGCACTTAGAACCTCCTAAATCACAGCCTTTCTGGTAGAATTTAAGATCTTCCCAGATTGTGTTTGGAGCGCCAACATGATTCTCAGTAAGGGTTATGTAGATTAGATTAGATGTTGCCAATGTGCACGGGATGCAAAGGAACCAGGCAGATAGGTGGGGACTTTCCCACTTAGAAGCTCCTAAATCACAACCTACTCTTGGTAGAATTAAGATCTTCCCAGATTGGAGCGCCAACATGTTTCTTGGTAAGGATTATAGATCAGATTAGGTATGTTGCCTATGTGCCCAGGCTGGCAGGGAACCAGGCAGTTTGGTGGGGACTTTCGCACTTAGAACCTCCTAAATCACAGCCTACACTGGTAGAATTAACATCTTCCCAGGTTGGTGTGCCAACATGTTTCTTCATAAGGGTCTTATACATCAGATTAGATGTTGCCTATGTGCACGGGATGGCAGGGAACCATGCAGAACCATGCAGAACCACGCAGATAGGTGGGGACTTTCGCACTTAGAACCTCCTAAATCACAACCTACACTGGTAGAATGAAAATCTTTCCAGGTTGATGTGCCAACATGTTTGTCAGAAAGGGTTTTCTGGATTGGACTAGGTATGTTGCCTATGTGCACGGGATGGCATGGAACCATGCAGATCGGTGGGGGACTTTCGCACTTAAAAACTCCTAAATAACAACCTACACTGATAGAATCTTCCAAGATTGGAGTGCCAAAATGTTTCTTGATAAGGGTTTGATAGATCAGATAAGGTATGTTGCCTACGCGCACGGGATGGCAGGAAACAAGGCAGATAGGTGGGGACTTTCGCACTTAGAACCTCCTAAATCACAACCTACACTGGTAGAATGAAAATCTTTCCAGGTTGATGTGCCAACATGTTTGTCAGAAAGGGTTTTCTGGATTGGACTAGGTATGTTGCCTATGTGCAGGGGATGGCATGGAAGCATGGAGATCGGTGGGGGGCTTTCGCACTTAAAAACTCCTAAATAACAACCTACACTGATAGAATCTTCCAAGATTGGAGTGCCAAAATGTTTCTTGATAAGGGTTTGATAGATCAGATAAGGTATGTTGCCTACGTGCATGGGATGGCAGGAAACAAGGCAGATAGGTGGGGACTTTCGCACTTAGAACCTCCTAAATCACAGCCTGCACTGGAATCAAAATCTGGTTGGTGTGCCAACATGTTTCTTGATAAGGTTTTTATAGATCAGATTAGATGTTGCCTATGCGCACGGGATGGCAGGGAACCATGCAGAACCATGCAGAACCATGCAGCAGAACCATGCAGATATGTGGGGACTTTCGCACTCAAAAAACTCTTAAATCACAACCTACACCTTGATAAGGGTTTTGTAGATCAGATTAGATGTTGCCTATGCGCACGGGATGACAGGGAACCATGCAGAACCATGCAGAACCACGCAGATAGGTGGGGACTTTCGCACTTAGAACCTCCGAAATCACAGCCTACTCTGGTAGAATTAAGATCTTCCCAGATTGGAGCGCCAACATGTTTCTTGGTAAGGAAAATAGATCAGATGAGATATGTTGCCTGTGTGCACGGGATGGCAGGAAACAAGGCAGATAGGTGGGGACTTTCGCACTTAGAACCTCCTGAATCACAACTTACAGTGATAGAATCTTCCCAGATTGGAGTGCCAACATGTTTCTTGATCAGGGTTTGATAGACCAGATTAGGTATGTTGCCTATGTGCACGGGATGGCAGGGAACCAGGCAGATAGGTGGGGGACTTTCGCACTTAGAACCTCCTAAATCACAGCCTTTCTGGTAGAATTTAAGATCTTCCCAGATTGTGTTTGGAGCGCCAACATGATTCTCAGTAAGGGTTATGTAGATTAGATTAGATGTTGCCAATGTGCACGGGATGCAAAGGAACCAGGCAGATAGGTGGGGACTTTCCCACTTAGAAGCTCCTAAATCACAACCTACTCTTGGTAGAATTAAGATCTTCCCAGATTGGAGCGCCAACATGTTTCTGGTAAGGATTATAGATCAGATTAGGTATGTTGCCTATGTGCCCAGGCTGGCAGGGAACCAGGCAGTTTGGTGGGGACTTTCGCACTTAGAACCTCCTAAATCACAGCCTACACTGGTAGAATTAAAATCTTCCCAGGTTGGTGTGCCAACATGTTTCTTCATAAGGGTCTTTTAGGTCAGATTAGATGTTGCCTATGTGCACGGGATGGCAGGGAACCATGCAGAACCATGCAGAACCACGCAGATAGGTGGGGACTTTCGCACTTAGAACCTCCTAAATCACAACCTACACTGGTAGATTGAAAATCTTTCCAGGTTGATGTGCCAGCATGTTTGTCAGAAAGGGTTTTATGGATTGGACTAGGTATGTTGCCTATGTGCAGGGGATGGCATGGAACCATGCAGATCGGTGGGGGACTTTCGCACTTAAAAACTCCTAAATCACAACCTACACTGATAGA